TCAAAGTTCTCGGTGCCGGCAGCAATGTTCCTCCAATTTTAAAAATTATCACAAAATATCAGTACCGCGCTCAAAAGAACTTAATGGAAAAAAAGATATGTGGAGAACGAGTATTTATGTAGTGCAGATTCATTACAATATTACGACCAGGGCATGCCCACCATAGTAAGCAGCAGTGATATAATCGGAACTAACACATCTCTATGCTGGGCATCAAAAACAGAGGGGCAAGGGGAAAAAAATAAAATAAAACAACTAATTGAAACTGGAAACAGGCTTGTAATATTGTAATAAATTTGCAGTACAAGGATACTCATTCTCCTTGTAGGTCTCGTCCCCCGCCCCCCCCTCCCCTTAATTTATTTTGAGTGCCGTACAGCTATTTTATGAGAATCTAAACCGCAAATTCCAGAGAACCATGGGCTAAGTTATCACCATAATTATTATTTATAAAGCGCCAACATATTTCATAGTGCTGTATTTTTTTTGTTGTTATCATTGTAAATTCCCCAAAGTTTCAATGTGTGATTGGCTGTGTAAAAATCAGAACAGAACATATACAGCTTATTGTATTTATTCTGGTGAGTAGAATCATTCCCTTCAGGCTTTTTGCTGTGAACACTGTCTTTTCAAAAAAATGCAGTGTTTACATTACAGCCTAGTGATAACTTTACTGGCCACTCCTCAGATGGCTGTTAGATGTGCTTGCTGGGGCAGTGCTGCACAGTGTGACTGAGATTCATTGTATCCAATCTCTGCATGGAAACACTGAGCTTTCTCCATATGATCAATGTATCTCTATGAGGAGATGCTGATAGGCCAGTGGGGTGTTAGGCTCCACTCCCAGCCCACCTCCTTGGCTGAGATCATCAGAGTTGACATTCTCAGCCAATCCAATGCTTTCATGTGGAAAAGCATTGTGATTGGCTGAGATCATCAAGTCTGATTGTCAGCCAAGGAGGCGGATCTGGGGCAGAGCCAGTACTGGCAGAGCAGCAAGGCATTGGAAACAAGGTGAGTTTTTAACTTGCTTTAAGGGGGTTAAATTGTTATTTTAACACCTGAGGGTCAGGAATACACATTTGTGTTCCTGACCCTATAGTGTTCCTTTAATATAGGTGCAGTTGTACAAGATAATAAAATATATTTTAGTAATGCAGACTAATTGTAATTAGGAATACAAACATGTAAAGAGGGTGTACTTTCTTTTTCCCTTGACTGGAATTTACTGTGCCATTTAGTTAAAACGGCACTGTCACTGAAATTCAGACCCAGTCATGAGATATACAGAGCCCACGTAGGGACTACCCTATACCTACCTGAATATTTCCAATGCCTGACACTTATAGCTATTGCCCTCTAGAAGTGTCAAGACGTCACCAGACGTCACCAGTGAAAGCTGCAGGGATATAGTTCTGTCTATAGAGGATCTCGTGGGATCCTCCATAGAACTCAATGCTGTTCTCTCGGGCATGCACAGAGTACAACAGTTCTGTTAGCTCCAGGAGCCACTGAAGAAGATGGCCTCGCTTGCAATGGTAAGTAGAACTCCCCTTTATCTGCCCCCTCCACCCACCGGCCACAGGAACCCTAGCGGCGATGTCACGATTGGGGGTCTTTGTGAATTGTGCAAATTCCACAGACAATGACAGTGCAACTTTAAAAGTGTTTTCCTTTTTGGCAAAATGTGAGTAATGCATAGTAGATACGTTATATCTTGGAGAGCAGGAGCAGGACTGTTGTGAAAAATTTTAGGTGACATACTAATAATTTATGGAACTAAAATGCAATTTAGAACAAGAAAAATGTGTATTATTTACACAGACTGATTACTAAACACATTTATTGTAGTTTAAAGTCACATCACTGGGAGTATTATTCATGTGGAGCTCTGTTATACAATCAGACACACCAACAATACGGAGCTCCTAGAAAAGAATAACATTAGGATAGAAAAGAGGGACAAAGGAATATGGGCCTGCCAAAATAAGGACTGTCCCTCCTAAATAGGGAGACTGACCATAGTTCAGTCCAGACCCGAGCGTGACCCACATGCCTTTCATCCTGTTGGAGGTGGTGCTAGGGAAAGTAGCATGGTAGAGGTCCACTCTGGTGGTTGGTCATGTGCTATTGGTACAACTATGTGTACTTATTAATGATGGGAATAGGCACAAATTAACATTTAAAGGGACATTCCAGGCATCAATACAAATTAAGTGCATTTGATGTTGTTTTTGCCTCAATTAATATGTTATAATTTTTGTGTGCTAAAATATTTATAATTTTTGGCTAAAAAAAAAATTGCTTTGCAGAATGCTGCGCCGTAAGCCGGCCTCCTTAGCCACGCCCCCTCAGGCCAGCTGGACTTCCTTATTAAAGGTGTCCATACAGTCACAGCCCCAATTGCACTGCGAGCTGCTCTTAATTCACAACCTGGCTGCAGACTGTCAGAGAAACTATAAACAGGAAGTGACATCCCTCCCTGGGTGTCCTCTCCTTCTCATGCAGGTTATTTTGTTGTCCATATCATTCAGTGCTGAGCTGTGTTCATACGTTTAAAACGGAAGTCATTCTCTGGAGTGAAGGGGCATAGCTAAAGAGGCAGGTTTACAGGCCAGCATTCTGCATAACATTCATTTTTGCTGAGCAAAAACTATAAAGATTTGTGCATGCAAAAAAACCACAAAAAAAAAAAAAACCCCGGCGCATATTAATGAGGCCAAAACCTCAAATGCATTAAAGTTGTATTGGTGCCCTTTAAGGTTTTTTTTTTGTCAGATGATGGTAACACCTCTCCCCACACAAGCTCCATAATTAGGTAGACAGGTCAATGAAATTGCATTTCCCATGATGATCAAATTGTTTAACGATTTGTTTTTTCTTTTCTTAAACTGACGGCCTGGCATTGCTATTTGATGGCAGTGTTTAACACTATTTCTCTAAAGATCTATTGTGGACCTTGCTATTCTCTATAAACTCTCTATCCACTGCTTGTAACAACTACACCATGCGCATGTCTAATCTACACTATGAAATTAAACATAACTCAACTTGAGAGGATGAAACATGGATCAACAAGAATAAACGGTTCTTAAATACTGACAAAACTGTCTGAGCTGTGTTTGGACTAAGTCACATATTTCTTATACTACGCAAAGCCCATTTAAAACGACCCTGTCAAGGGTTTACTTACTTTAAACTCCCAATGCTTTAAAAGTCCCTTGTTTGCAGCAAATCCTCAGGACTGTGCTCCTTTTCGACTGCCCCTGCAATCACCAGGAAATGGCCGAGAATTCTCAGCCAATCCCAGGCCTTCCATTATTCTCTATGGAGCAATGAGATTATTAGAGTCATTATTCTGTTATTTATTTATTTTATTTATTTATAAAATATTTTACCAGGAAAGATACATTGAGATTTCTCTCGTTTTCAAGTATGTCCTGGGTAGTTAAAGGGATCTTATAGTTCCGTGGAAAACAACGCTTTTTTCCTGGCACTATAGGGTTAATAGGTGTGTCCCCCCCCCCTCCCTTGGGGCCCCCCTAACGTGGGGTTGAAGGGGTTAAAAGTTCTCTGGACCTGCAATATTTAACATTGCAGCACTAAGTGCAAAAGGGTCACAGCACCCAGACCACCTTAATTAGCTGAAGCGGTGTGGATGCCTACAGTGTACCTTTAAACTTCTGTTTGTTTTAGCATTAGACTATTTGAATCTTCAAGGCACAAACAGATAGCTTCACAGTCTATTTACATGGAGTATCACTGTGTACTCAACCATTCAGCACAGTTTCTCTCTAAAAAACCCTAACTGTCCTATCATCATATTTAGCGTTTCTGGGCTGCTTATCAAAACTAACACAAGTACTTTTTTGCTGCCATAATTGCTCACAATTTGGGTTTATTTTGGCCGTTCCAATTTCAGGTAATTACAAATCTACATTCTGTAGCAATTTCTTCCTGGGCAGAATTGGAATCTCAGACAGAACTGACCCAAACTGCTTACTGTGACCACTTGTGTGATAAATTATCCAGTATATAATTCATTATCTCACTGCAATTACATCCCAGCATGCAATCTGTGCATTGCAATGCCACAGTGCCCTAAGCAAAACGAAACGGCTGCTTCACCAGTCTAACGGAATAACAGAAAAACTAACAATCATATAGTACTTTTTAATCACGGTTTTACCCCTAAAAGGTTCTAGTCGTGTACTGCAGTGTACCTCAAAATGTAGGTTTAGGGTGACATGATTAGCAGGCTTAGACCTTGCAGGTTTATGGGGAATTAAGGGTTACATTTGCAGGGTACATGCTTATCATAGAACTGTGGATTGCATCTCCTAGCACTCTCAGCCATTCCTGGAGTTATAGTACACAGAACATTAAAGGCAGTTTTTCCCTAATTCTAATTCTACCTTAATCCCAAATCCATCCAACCCTAACTGAAGAGAGAATTCAAAGTGTGTTTCAAATTCAAGGTCAGACTAGTCAACTCTGCTTTAAGTTTGGCTACTCTGGCCTTAAATGAGAAATTTACTTTTAATTCAAATTGAATATTCTCTTCATTAATTAACCCCACAAGTTAATTATGGCTCTTAACATCCTAATCTTCTACCCCTAACCATGTTCCTCTAACGCAGGGGTTCTCAACCCAGTCCTCAAGTACCTCCTACCAGTCCAGGATTTAGGGATCACCCTCTTGTGTCTAAAATTTTTTTTTTATTTTTTTACTAAAAACACCTTAGACACAACTGGGTAATCTATAAATCATGGACTTTTAGGGGGTACCTGAGGACTGGGTTTGAAACCACTGCTCTAATGCAATCATAACCTCAATCTTTAAAATGTTACCTTAAAGGGACTATAGTCACCAGAACAACTACAGCTTATTGAATTTGTTCTGGTGAGTAGAATCATTCCCTTCAGGTTTTTTGCTGTAAACACTGTCTTTTCAGAGAAAATGCAGTGTTTACATTACAGCCTAGTGATAACTTCACTGGCCACTCCTCAGATGGCTGTCAGAGATCCTTCCTGGGTCATGGCTGCATAAAATGCATCCAAACATTCAGTATCTCCTCCCTCTGCATGCAGACACTGAACTTTCCTCATAGAGATTCATTGATTCAATTCATCTCTATGAGGAGATGCTGATTGGCCAGGGCTGTGTTTGAATCATGCTGGCTCTGCCCCTGATCTGCCTTTTTGTCAGTCTCAGCCAATCCAATGGGGAAGCACTGTGATTGGATCAGGCTACCACTTCTGATGATGTCAGCAGACTGCTTGTTTGTTTTTTTTCCAGGCAAACAGCATGCAGTTACAGCTTCTTACTTGAATACAAGTAAGATTTTGCTATAATTATGGAGGCATGAGGGGCCCAGGGGGGCAAGATTGTGGTTTTAACACTACAGGGTCAGGAATAAATTTTTGTGTTCCTGACCTTGTAGTGATCCTTTAAGTCTACCCCTTCATACATTATCAAACCTTAGCAGCATTCTTTTTAATACCGCATTCTTTTGTGGTGGAACAATTATCCCGCAGTCACATGACCCCAGCATAATTGTTTAATTGTTTATGAGGACAATAAAAAAATGCGTTTGTAAGCTTTATACGTACATGTGGACAATGCACGCAATTCTATCTTATTTATGAATCACTTACCAAATAAAAATCAATAGAGTTAGCTACTAACTTCAAATATAACAGTCACATTTTTGTTTTAATGATTTAGGCGTTTATATAGTGAGTTTCAGTGAGTTGAAAGCCAACTTTGAAAATCTGCTTTTTTTAACCTAAAATTCCCAGATTTTACTATTAGCATGACGTAAAGTCATGATTTTATTAAAGACACGGAGGCGAGTATTATGCATAACTCTTTCTTTATTTCCTCAGCAGCAAAGATAGAGGAATATAAATATATCAAAAATGAAAGAAAAAACTGTATAGATACACAGGCAACCAATCACATAACAGAGGAAGTGACTATATAAGGCCTGTGTCTCCCACAATCCCCCTCTTTCTTGCGAAAACCGAAGACCAGGTAAGAAGAACGATATCCTGCTTGGCCAAAACCGGGGACTGGAACAAACCGACAATTTCAAGCTAAAAAAGAGAGAGAAATATGGTAATAACCAAACTCCAAACTGTAGACTTACCAATACAAAACTAGTGACCTGTCATAAGGTTAAGGAATGAAATCTGAAAAATATAATAGACATAATTAATTAGTATATGCAATACACCACATGAAGTACATCCAAGGCAGATCAAACTCAACATACCTGAACACGCCAAATCGCATCTCGCTCCATACCCCACACCGGGAGGGCGGGAGGGAATAATACTCGCCTCCGTGTCTTTAATAAAATCATGACTTTACGTCATGCTAATAGTAAAATCTGGGAATTTTATTAAAGACACGGAGGCTCATATTATGCAAGTTCAAAGCTGTGCTATCACCTGAGATGCGATGTGCTCAATAGGTCTGAAGTAGAAGTCACGGAAGGTCGACTCTCGAGACCAATCCGCTGCACGCATGATGTCCTCCAGACGACAGCCGACTGTCGAAGCCTTGGAAGCCATAGCACCCCTCACCGAATGGGGTGTAAAGATAGACGTGTCTATACCAGCCATAGACAACAGCCAACGCACCCAACGTGCCAGGGTCGGTGTCGCCACAGGTCGATGCGGAGTACGAAAAGAAATGAGTAAAGGTCGTAGGTCTAGTGAGCGAAGAGGTCGAGTCACCTCCAAATAGACCTTTAAACACTCCACTGGACAGAGTGCCGGACACCCTTGGAATCTAGGGTATACGAAAGACCTTGATGCAGATTTAGTCCGTCTGGAAATGTTAAAAGTCACACCTTCAGGGGAGAAGGTAACGGCGTCCCAATCGAGGGCCCTAACATCAGAAACCCTTTTACATGAAACCAAACAAAGCAACATAACCAACTTGGAAGACAGTTGCTTAAGGGTCAGTCCCTGGTTCGGGTACCAGGAAGATAGAAACTGAAGCATAATGTTAACGTCCCAAAAGGCAGAGAAACGAGCCTTGGGCGGACGGGCGTGGCGAATGCCCTTGAGCAGGCGACACACGAAGGGGTGTCTGCCCACGGGCGAACCATCCAAACCAACATGTCCAGCCGATATAGCGGAACGAAAAAGGTTGATAGTTCGATACGCCTTGCCCGAATCAAACAGAAAAGTGAGGTATTCCAGAATTAGATGGAGAGGGGCAGATACGGGATCCACTGCCCGTTCCATGCACCAACTAGACCATGAGCCCCATGAAGAGCGGTAGGCCGATCGCGTACCTGGAGCCCAGGCGTTATCGAGGAGTTGTAGAGTCGCCCGCGAAACGTTCGGGACAACCCAGGTACCCCTGAAAGGAGCCACGCTATCAGAGGTAACTGATGTCGGAGCACCAGCTCGTGCGAGTTCCCATCCAGGTCCAGGAGAAGATCCTGGAAGCTCGGAATCAGTCTGGGGTAGTCTATCGACAACTCCATCAAGCGTGGGAACCAAGGACGGGACCTCCAAAGAGGTGTGATCAGTACCAGGCAGCAATCGTGCCGGATCAACTTCGATATCGTGCGAGCGATCATGTTGAACGGTGGGAAGGCATACAGGCGTCCCGGAGGCCAGTCTTGGAGAAAGGCGTCCGTCGCTACTGCTGCCGGGTCTGGCCTCCAGCTGTAAAACGCCGGGAGTTGAGTGTTCAGACGTGAAGCGAACAGGTCCAACTCGAAGCGTCCCCAGAGACTGTCCAGACCTCGGAAAACCGAAACGTGCAAGTGCCAATCTCCCGAGTCTCTTAAGTGCCTGGAATTCCAATCCGCACCCGAATTGTCCAGGCCCGGAATGTGTTCCGCCTGCACCGAGACGTTGTTGAGGAGACAAAATTGCCAGAAGTCCTTCGCCAATAGCGCCAACATTCTGGACTTGGTACCCCCAAGATGATTTATGTACCGGACTGCCGACACATTGTCCATCTTGAGGAGAACGCAACAGTCTGCCCGGCCTGGGGTCAGACTGCGTATCGCGAAGGCCCCTGCCAGCAGTTCTAGACAATTGATGTGTAGGGACCTCTCCATGTCGGACCATCTGCCTCCGGTGGAAACGTCTCCACAACGAGCACCCCAGCCGTGTAAGCTGGCATCGGATTCTATCACGACATCCGGGACCGACCCGAAGATGGCCCGTCCGTTCCAGGCCTCCATGTGTGCCAACCACCATACCAACTCGTCTCTGGACTCGTCGTCCAGACGTATCCGGGACTCGTAAGAGCGACCCGAACGTAGGTGTGAACCCTTGAGTCGTTGGAGGGCACGGTAGTGTAGCGGGCCCGGAAAGATCGCCTGAATCAAAGCCGCCAGAAGGCCGATAATCCTTGCCAGTTGCCTGACGGACATATCCGGCACCCGAAGAGCCCTTCGGAGCTCCTTCTGAATGGCCTTCATCTTGGACTCCGGCAAGTACAGGAATTGCCTGATGGAGTCCACCTGGAAACCTAAGAATTCTATAGATTGGGTAGGGATCATGACCGACTTGTCCCAGTTGATCAGAAAACCCAAATTTTGGAGAAGGTTGATTGTCCAACCCAAATGTAACAGCAGAGATTCCCTGGATTGGGACATGATCAATATGTCGTCCAGGTAGACGATCAGTCGCACCCCACGGGTACGAAGGTAAGCCATTACCGGCTTCATGAGTTTGGTGAAACACCAAGGGGCCGACGAGAGGCCGAACGGCAGGCAAGTGAAGCGCCAGCGTCGACCGTGCCACGTGAAGTGGAGGTAATCCCTGCAGCTCAACGCTATGGGGACTGTAAAGTATGCATCCTTCAGATCCAACTTGGCCAACCAATCCGATTGCCGAAGGAGGTCTCTGAGGCAGTGTATACCCTCCATCTGGAAATGTTGGTAACGGAGAAATGCGTTGAGGGGACGAAGATTTATCACGGGACGAACCCCGCCCCCTTTCTTTGGCACCAGAAAAAGATTGCTCGTGAAGCCCGGAGAGGCCAACGGCATCTCTTCTATGGCACCTTTCGTGAGCATCTCCTCTACTTCCTTGGAAATCAAGTCGTCCTGATCCTGTGGGAGGGACAACTCTCTGGGGGTGCGAACCTGGACAGGCATAGAAACGAACTCCAGGTGATAACCTTTTACACATTGCAAAACCCAAGCATCTGAGGTTATATCTGTCCACCCCTGGTAGAATAAGGCTAGCCTCCCTGCCACCCTTACATGATCGAGAGGGGAAAAATGGGTACTCACCATAAGGGCGTCTGCCCGAAGCGGCACCACGGGGATACCTGGAGCCCCAGGATCTCCCTCTGGCTGGGAAGAAGGGAGGTGACCTCGTATCCTGAAATCCTCGGGAAGGAAAGAAGGAACCTCTGGAGGCCCTGAACGAGCCACGGAAGCCCCGGCCGGGTGGACGGTTCCTGTTACGCCCGGCCCCTCCGAAAACCTTGGGTGCGAACACGCGCTTCATATTCGCCTGGGCCTTGTCAATGGCCGTAAAGGTCTTAACATAGGAACCAAGGTCCTTCACGAAAGAGGTTCCAAACAGTAAACCCTCGTCAGAGGGGTCAGGTTCCGCTACCGTCATGGCAGCCAATTTGGGATCGATCTTAAGGAGAATCGCCTTACGCCTCTCCGAAGACATGGCAGTATTAGCGTTCCCCAATAGGCAGATCGCCCTCTGGACCCACCCAATGGCCACATCGACATCCATAATCTAGTCTCCAGCCCTAGCGGCATCTAGCAGCTCGTAAAGTTTAGACAGAGGGCCCAGGGTATCCAATATCTTATCTTGGCATCCCTTGAGGGAGTAATCCAAACCCTTCTTGAGCTTCCAGCCTGATTTATTCATGAATTGGGCGATTTGGGGGTCAATATCAGGAGTCTTACAGGCCGAGCCCGGGAGAGAGGGTCTAGGGCATTCGGCACGCAACTTGTTGCGACCCTCCTTGGAGAGGGGTGTACGCAGGCGTTTAGCCACATATTGTGCAATATGGTCCGGGGGGACCCACTCTGCTGACCGTGGGTGACGCAGATCGTCAGGGTCGAACAGTGGGTTTCCCTGGGGGTCAAAAATGGCCTTACTGTCCCCAGAGGGAATCTTAACTTGGCCTAGGGCCACGGCAGAGGACCCAGAGGGGGCAACCTCCGCGGAGGGTAATTCCTCGTCTGACCCTCCCTCATCATAGGAGTCATACTCCATAGCATCAGAGTCACGTTCCACACTCCGGTCGGTATCCGA